AAATGTGGCTGAATTTCGTTGACGCAGCGTTTAATTTTCTCCTGTAATGCACGGGTGGTTGTGGGATTGTTGACGTAGACCTTTGACTACAAATAAACCCATAAAAAGAAATCTAATGGTGTTATAACACAAGATCTAGGGAGCCAATTCTGATCACCAAAACGAGAGAGTACACGACTAGGAAATGTCTCTTGCAGTAATTGAATTGTTTCACGGACTGTATGGCATGTGGCACCATCTTGTTGAAACCACATGTCGTCTATATCAATAATATCCAACTGAGGCAGAAAGAAGTGTGTTATCATATCGCGATATCGAGCACCAGTAACAGTCTCGATGTCTCGATGTAAGATGTCTCGAGCTCAAAATCTGCAACCTGGGTTCTCCGGCAATTTTGGCGATTAACAAAGCCATCAAGGTGAAAATGTGCTTCATCGCTTAGGATGATTTTGCTCGAAAAATCAGCATCCACTTGTTGATGCTTAATAATCCATTGAACGCCCCATTTTTACTAACCATAACCTCTCAGCTATCAAATTGTTTATTTTTTGGGGTTGTTGTTTTGGGGTTAATTTTGGGATACCCTTTATAAAAAATGTATTGGCCTTTAAGCTTTGTAATTGACGTTAGATATTTATGGTTATACTCAGTCAAAATCAGTGGCGTGCTTAGTGACAAAACTATTATTCATATTTTATGACCCACCGGTGCGTCATGCCGTCGTCAACGTGTTAAACAATTTATTTATTATGTGTTGATCATTTTAGCAAATTATCGACCATTTTTTATTTTTTTTTTATTATGATGTTTGTTATATACATATAAAGTATGGTTGCATTCGACAAATAAAGCACATTAATTTGCAGACAATAATATTTTTGTTTTCTTGTGAAATCTTGATTGGTATAATATAATTCTTTTTAATCATTTTATACTTATTTTTTGGAAACAATTAATTATATTTGCTAATTATTTTTATGCTATAATTAAACTTTCCAATAACAAATTATAAATAAAATATTTTTGTTTTTAAAATATTTTCAATAACATTGATTTTGGGAATATATTTACTCTCGGAATTGGTAAATCCTGTTGTTGTTACGATTGTTACGACTTGCACGCGATTTGAATAATTTTGAGGTTACTCGAAACCCAAATTTGGATTGCAAAAGGCCGATTTTCGTATTTTGTACAAGCCCGAAAATGCATACGTGAGTTCCATTCGGATCGGTTTTGTAGTAAAGATTCATGTCTTTTATCGTTGCGTCATTCGACATAGATCAACTGAATAATAATGCTCAGCGTTAAAAGCAATTACAAATTTATTCAGTTATTATTTAATTACATAAGCTAATTACTTTTGCATTCTGTTCGCTTCACTACATTGATTCTTGCATACTGCTTGCAATAATAAATAACAATAATTTTTTAACGTACAACTTTCCTGCATTTAATTGAATCTTGATACATACATTAATATAATGTTTAATGTAATGTAAGATAATTATATTTTTAAATTTTTAAAATTTTCCCGACTTACGAACAAATTCGATTTACGTACAACCCTTTGGACCGGAACTAGTTCGTAAGTCAGGGAATACCTGTAGTATGTAATTGGTGCATTTTAAATTAAAAATTAAGAGTATTTAATCAATCATCAGTAGTGTTTAATATTATCCAATGTAAGCTTACTATTTCATTTAATATATCAATTAACACTAAAGTTATGTCAACTGTCAAATAAGCACCAATAGATCATAAAAAAAATAAAGTTTCTTTCATGACAGACTTTGATATTCAAGTTTATTTTTTTTATATGATTATAATTTTATTCGCATTGAATTAACTAGAAATGAATTTGCAATAAATGAAAATTAAATGTAACTTTCAATTTGAGATTTATTAAGCGAACATCTATTTCCTGAAACTTTAGTAAATGTAAACCTTTCTATTTACATTAGATTGGTGGAACGGTAGATAATATTAAAATTATTATTAATTACATATTAAATAAATGAAAACTATCTTTCATTTATTAATGTTAATTACATAATTCTTTAATAATAATAATTTATTGGCCAAACATGAATACATAAGAAAAAAGTATATTCTATACATAAATAAATTCTAACATAAAATTAAAAATAACATACTTTATTTCCTTATTAAAATATACTAGCTTTTTGTTATATTTTATTAAATTCAATTTGTACTAATTATTAGTGTTGGCTAGAATAAAATATTCATTTTCGTATATTTATAATTTTATCTTGTAGAATTACTTAAATGTAGCAGCACAATTACAATAAACTAATTATGCAACTAAACAAAACAAAAATTAATCATTATATATCTTTTGTAAACTGATCATTCTCAATTTATTCAAACAAAGTTAGAGACAACGTAAATCGTTAAAATCTTAATAATGATGTATGGAGTTTCCACTTTCGAACAGCTTTGTTGCGTCCAACCGTTATTATTACAATTATTATTGTTAATATAGTTAATATTATTATATAAACATATACATCAGCATAAAGGAACCTTCACCGTCAGACCGAATGTAACATTCGCAGACGCAGAATAGGCAGTTTCATCGAGACCAATCACTGATGAGAACATCGCTCATATTTTCAACTGGGGACCAGAAGCGAAGCGTCTTATCAAAACCGTGCTTTACTCCTCAAACTCCCACCCCCTTGCTTTGTTAATTTTATACGTAGAATAAGTATTTTTAAATAGTCTTAGGAAGAACATTAAAGAATCAAGTCGTATCGATTATGTTAATAATAAACCGAAAGTAAAATTCTGTCGTGTCCCAGGGATGGTTATCTGGACACTGTGGGATATCTTCTTCTGTTGTCTGTTGTGGAGCCTTAGGTTTGGTAAATAATAAATTGAACGAGTTTTACTTTTGGTTTATTATTAAAATATTCGATACGACTTGATTCTCTTGCGTTCTTCCTAAGACTAATTACAAATCCTTATTCTACGTATAAAATTAACTAAGCAAGGGGTGGGAGTTTGAGGAGTAAAGCACGGTTTTGATAAGACTGCTCCTATACGGATTTTGCCAATTCAGCGTCTGGTTGAAAATATGAGCGATGTTCTTTCAGTAGCTGGTCTCGATGAAAATGCTTATTCTGCGTCTGGTTGAAAATATAAGCGATGTTCTTTCAGTAGTTGGACTCGATGAAGGCTACCTTTATGCTGATGTATATATTTATATATGGTGACTAAGAGACACTATATTAACAATAACAATTGTAATAATAACGGTTGGACACAACAATTCGTTCAATTTATTATTTATCAAAAATAAGGCTCCACGACAGACAACAGAAAAACATATTCCACAGTGTCCAGAAATCCATTCCTGGGACACGACAGCTTGTTCGAAAATGGAAACTTCATACATCTTATACATCTGATTACTGTTTAGAAACTAATGCGATTTTCGACTGTATATTTACCTATTTATTCGGACTATAAGACGTGAACGGAATGTTTTCTTATATTGACTTAGCAGTTTTAATTATTCCTCTTGTTTTCTCCATTCTTGAATCATTTTCTCTGTTGGTGGTGAACCCAAATGTCTTTCTGCTGCTCTGTTTCCATATTGTTTTGCATAATTGATCTCATTTAGTTTATTTGAAAGTATTTCTTGTTTTCAAATTTAGGGACGATTTATTGAAAAAGTCCATTTTTTCTATATAAAAAAGGTGCGTCTGAAAAATACGCTATGTAAATATATCAAAATTCACCTTCTTTTTAAAGAAAATTTATCACATAATTTATAATGTTCAATTCAGTGTAATTGTGTGCAATGTTTTGTAAATCTGAGATTTTTTCTAGAAAATAATATTAGAAATTTAATTTCTTATATAATATCAAATATTAGTTTCGTAACCTTTACTATTAATTACATTTACAATTCTATTTTAAACGACATTATAGGTCATATAAGAATAAATAATGAAGTAATTATTTTTTCTTAGTAGTTCAAGATTTTCACAAGGAAAAGTTCAAAGGTACATGGAGAAAATAGTGAATTAATATCAATAAATTGAAGGTACTTTTAATTAATGTTAAATTAAAAACTATAATAAAAATATGATGCTTAAATGCGAGTAACAAAGCCTCAAACTATATAAGAACAACAAGGTTATCAATCGAGATAAAAACTAAATATTTCAGGGAGATCAAGTGAAATTGTCTGAAGAAAAGTATAATTGACATAATTTTGTGTTACAAGTTCCAATGCTGTGAGAAATTGAATGATTTATAGACTCTTTGATTGAATTGATTGTTTGAAAAATAAAACTATAAAAATTATTTTTACAATTTAATTGTTCGTTCAATTTCATGCAAAAATTATTAATATCTTTTAATAATATTCATTTATATAAAAAAAAACAGTAGTCTAAGTACAGCAGTACCTTGCATAGTGCGGCTTCAATTAGTCCGGAGTCAGTGTAGTGACAAATATACAGAATATTATTTTTTACATACATTAATGATCTTTTATTTTTTCAGTCGGATACTTTTGTGCTGTTTATTCTTACATTAGTCGCTTAGTCCGGGATATTGGCGGATATTTATTTGATTATCTGAAATTCACACTATACATATAAATATAATACAAAAAACTACTTCATTACATGCTTGTTAGCATTTAAAAATTATTTCGACTTAAAAAAAACCATTAATTAAAAAAGTATTTGCAAAACTCTTGACATTTACGCAAACTTCTTGTTTTCTTTTTGTTCCTTTCATATTTATAGAGAACCGATTATATGATTTAATATATAATTTTCGTTGGTCTATAAATATCTGGTCTATAATTGCGGAAGTAATTATCGTTCGTTTTCAATTAATTATTATGCATGTAGTTTTGCAAATAAGAAATCAATTTTAACTTGCTAGCAACTTCTTTTTTTTTATCATACTAAAGATTTTTGTTGCTTCTATTCTAATTTATTTCCTTTTTTATTTTGCAGATGAAAAGAGAATTTTGAAATGTATCAGTGGCAGTTTCAAGGCCGGACAACTGCACGCCATAATGGGTCCATCTGGTGCTGGAAAAAGCACACTTCTAAATATTCTGGCAACGTACAGGTATGACTACTTTATGAAATTTTATTGGAAGCAATTGTTGTACCATAATTTTTTGACTTATAATCTTCTCAACAAAAGAGAATCTTGACATATTATTTTTTACTAATCGGAAACCAGAATAATGGATAACTTTAAAAATAAACTGCAGAAAAATGGACTAGACTGTATAAAGAGAAAAAATGATCATTTATTTAGAAAAAAACATAATTGTTTATTAATTTTTTTAAATTTATTTTTCTCAATTAAAATTTTTAATTTTTATAACCGGACTATAATAAATCCGGACTGATTGAATCCGCACTATGCGACAGTACAATTATTAATATTGATTTTATGGAAAGTCGAAAAGTATCTGTAATGTAAAATTAGTAAAGTTATTTACTTCTATAGTATATTATATTATGCAATAGGATCAAAACGTATTATTTTCTAGATTTTGACTGTAAGCTTTTAATTAATGTTTGAAATATTGTAATAATCATTCCGTTATTTGATGTAATATTAAAATGTAACCACTATGGACACATAAATGAAACACAAGTACTACCTATGGGTCAAAATGACCCGTTTATTAAATATTATTAAAATTAATTAAATCGATTAAAAAATACAACAAATTATTAATTTTTACAAAAAATACAGATTAATTATTATTATTTAATCAATTCAACATCATTTAAACTGATTTTATTGCTCAAAATAGATTGGCCAATTTTTTTTGAACAAGTAGAACAAATTGATCTTTCGAATATGTCACAAAACGTTGCTGTTTTCTAGTCACTCATACTTGAACAAAAACACCTATTTCTTTCTTTCTTTGGAGCAGGAATTTTAGTGCATCTAAACCTGCTTTAGTCTTATTGTAGAAATATATGATATCAGTTTTGTTTTGTATTATCATTCATTACTTGTGGTGCATACAGAACCAAAGTTATTTCACTTTAAATTCCAATTGTTGATGATATTTCAAGAACGTATTTACTATAGACAGGTCACTTTGATCCGAAATACGTTCTACTACATCTGTGTAGTACTTACGGGTTAAACTACTTATAAATAATGGATATTTTAACTTGTCATTTATATGACTTATTATTATTTATCAGGTGATCAATGTTATTTCCAATTACGTGACATTATTTATTCAAATTAATTTAAAAAAAAATCATTATTGATGATGCAGCGAATTCCATGCCCGTTTGTTTTGTCCCGTAAAGTACCTTCATTCTACTGTTAAACTTTCATCCAGAAAGTAACGATAAATGTTCGTCATTTATCTAGTTACTAAAAATGCGTTGTTAATAACCTTTCATAGTTTTTAATTTATTTCAAGTATTAAACACTTTCAGATAATTTTGTTTATTTACGTTTTCCAATAGCCAATTACATATGCACGCACGCAACACGCGGCGTTATATAATCGCGTTTCCAATTTCAGTAATTACCGTCATTTTTCAACAGCTTTTTCGCTCGTGTTGATTTTTTTACTAAGTAAGTAATGGCAACAATTACATTTAAAAATTAACGTCCTGAATAACTATGGACTATTGAATGAATGTATACGTTGAAACATCTCATATCCAATTAAATAGGTTAAAAACAATTTAGTCTATAAAAATTATCAACATTTTACGACAGGTATTCCCAATATAATGTCGCCGCTAAAAACATAATTGGATATGCAATTACTTGGAATGATTCAGGAATATAAATTAGTTTTCTTTATAAAAACATACTCCAATTATTCTCATGCACTTCAAGCTGTAAGAAATGGCGAATATCAATGTGTCCATAAATTGTTGTTTGAAGCTAGTGCTTAATTAAGATTTAATTACAGTAACATATTTTATTTTCTTTGGTTTTTATTTTAAAATAGTAAATTCCTTTCTTTATAATTTGTCTAATAAATTAATTTATGTAACGTTTTGATTAAATTGTTTTTCTCAATTATATTTAGACCAAAAGTCAAAGTATAAAATATTTAATAAAGTTTCTCAACTCGAAACTTTGAATTCATTAAATTTCATTCAAGTAATTTTGATTATAAACAAAATATTGCATATAAATATCTGTCATTCGGAAACACATTTCATGAAATGAGCTTTGTAAATATAACGTGTTTGGAATTTATAATACAAATATTTTTTTTATATGTATGTTTCAGTCAGTTTCTCTATATGGTAGATAGTACGTGAATGAATTAATAATTGTTTTACAAGTTGTATAAAATATTTCTTTTTAAATGCTAGTTTTTCAATTTCAAGAAATAAATTATTTACAAATCTTGAAAGATCCAAAGAGATATAGACCAAGTTTTTCTGCCCTCAATATCTTTAGTATTTAAAGTTTACGTTTTCATTTTCGCACGTCATCTGGAATCATAAAAAGCAATCCAGTGTTAAAAGCACATTGCATATAATTATGCAGTGAAATAAAACTGGTTTAATACACGCAAATGATTAACATCAGAAATCCGGATTCACAAGGAAACAAAAATTTATTTGAGCAAAATAAAAATAAATTCTAAACAATTAGTACACATACAAGTCACTTTTTCTCCGGTTTATTTATTTTTTTGTAATATTTAATTTCTCGATTAGTCTGGTTTTAAACTGTCCGAAATATTGGCGGAACTAGTTCCGTTCCAAAGGGTTGTTCGTAAGCCGGGTTAATTTTAAATATTTCAAAATATACTTATCTTACCACACTTTATCATAGTTTTTATTTAACATATATAATTAAATTCCGTATTACTGACTACATAAATTTGAAAGAATAGATTAAAATAAACAAAATATTTACTTACAAATACTTTTCAATGTAGAAATCACAAATAGTTAATAAAAAATGATAAAAGAAAGAAATGCAACAAAACAGATAGCACATCTTTAAAAAATATTATATTTTATTAAAGAAATTATCAATTTTTGTTTGGACTCTTCATTTTTTTGTCACTATATATTTCCTTGTAACAAGTTAGAGCTTTTAGAATTTTGTTCGTAAGTCCTGGAGTTCGTAAGTCCTATACTTTGAATGCTAACATCTTAATGTTAATTGAAATTACTGGTTCTATGCGTAGAAAAATAGTTTGAATATCATTATGTTCGTTTAAATATCATTATGTACATTTAAGAAGGTCAGATAATAAAAAAATCTTGTTTATTATTCGGTAATTATAAATTATATTTCCTGTTGGATGTTAAGAGTGTTTTGGTAATAATAATGTAGATGTGACAGACAAAATACAGATGTTTCATTAAACACACTCATCCAAATATTTGTATAGTATTTAAGGTATAATTGCCGATAAATATCGAAGTTTGCTGGTGTTTTGATGCCATTTACTATACGCTTTTATTGGGAAAATAGCATTGGAAAGTGAATATAAAAAGAACAGAAATGAAACTATTCGTGTTAAGTAGGTTGTGTTCAAATCACACATTATTGCACATTGAAAGTAATAGTTTCAATTAATACACTTTTATTAATTTAAATTATTTGTTTGAGGAAAACAAAATTTATATTTTTATTACTTTATAACATACAATAATAAACAATCTATAAAAAAAATATAATGTCAAGGTAATTTAACACTTATAGGTTATATTATAAAGAGAAGCCTAATCAAATTTGAACTAACTTAATATTATTTATACAATTAAAACAATTAAAATCAGCTTTATCAACGTAAGGCAAACTAAATACGTTAAACCAGCGTTTTCCAAACTGGGAAGCGCGGACTACTCCAAGGGAAGGCGCGAATATAAGTCACATTGAGCAATTTTCCAAATGACTGCTAAAGTTTTATCTATTTTATGAAATGTACTGGACAGGGGCCAAAATGATTAAATATTGTTAAGGAAGGCGTACTAATATCAAGTTTGGAAACCACTGTGTGGTTCTGATTTAACCTCAATTATATACAACAAAAACAACCTAACCTAATATAAAAATAATAAATTAGTTTTAATTGTCAGTTTAATATTTTGGATTTTGTACACAATCTAAGCAAAAAAAAATAATCGATAACATTTTCCATATTTTATAATTTGTTTATAAACTAGTCTTACAGAAGAACTATAAATTATTATATGCTTTCAAATTTTACTTAGAAAATGTTAATTTATTCATCGAGATTACCATTCTATTCTATTTTTAATTGATAAAGTTAGATATAAAATTAATGTATTTTTTATAATACAAATAGACATTGTTTAATCAAAACATATGACTAATGTTGTTTATATTTTAAGGCAAGGTCAATCATTTATTTGCGAATAATTAAAAACTAGTTATTAAAAAGATAAAATATGATAAATGTAAACATTACACATATTTTTATATTTAAATGTGTATTTATTATGAAAATCGGAACGCGTCGCGACGCCTGGATGTGCGTTCAGAGTTGAACGGACTTTATTAACCTAGTTTTTAGAAAAGGCAGTAGCATAGTAGCTATATTCGATGTGCGAAGAACATGCAACTGTCGACACGCCATCGGCTCAACAATCTTGCATAATCGATCGAATGCAAATTGCAACATCAATATTTCCGCATATTCTCAACGTCTGTAGTTGTGGTACTTCCAGGATCCCACCAAACAATAAGCCACCAACCTCAAAATGATTTTTAATTGCAAATAGAGAAAGCCATGAGGTTTCAAAAGCTGTCCATCCATTACGTATAAGCATTTTACTAACGATGATCTCTTGCCTTTTGTACGTTGCATGGCCTTTTATGTTATTTTGTCTCTCGTCTCTTTTCCAGATTATCCGGTTCCACGGGAAACGTTCTGGTGAACGGAGAGCCGCGCAATGTACGCAACTTCCGGAAGATATCTCGATACATAATGCAGCAGGATGCGCTGCAACCGCTGCTCACCGTCCAAGAAATCATGACCATCGCTGCAGATCTCAAACTCGCCAAAGACATAACATCCGAAGAAAAACAATTAGCAGTAGGTACATTAAATAAATAAGAATTTAACCGCAAATTTTCAAAATTTAATTACTACAAAACAAACAATAAAATTTAATTACTACAAAAATATAAATTTTTCTATTTTTTCAACTTTTCAACAACAAAAATATAAAATAAGAAACTATTATTTCTATAACTACTAATAACTTAAACAAAATTTGCAAAATATTAAACAGTTTATTTATTTATTTATTTATTTATTTTTAAAATAAAAAATTTACAAAATAAAATTAGCATACAAAATCAAATGATAAAACTAAAGCATCTAAAATCAGTAAAAAAAATATAATTTAAACATTTGTATTGAATATCCTTTTCAAAAGCAATAAATAAGATATAATTTTTAATACATAACTTGTCTACTTGTTCAAAATTTTCTTATTCTAGATACAATATTTTCTGAAGAATATTTGTATCTCTCTCACTGCTCGTTCTCAACTAAATTATTTTGATTGATTTCTGCAATTATTAAAAAAATAACTTTCAATTTTGATTTCTTTCAATGTGCTTCTATTCGGAGGAATTTTAAGTCAAAATATTATGTTTAATTAATTAATTAATTAATTAAATAAATAATGTTTATATATTAATTCCAGTATAAACATTTTAAAATCTGTTTACGAATTGTTTAAATTTATTTAAAAATAACAACAAACAACAATTTATATTCAAATATAAGTTTTTTTTTTAAAACAACACATTTAATTTACTTGATGTATATTTTTATTTTCAGATCGACGATATCTTGGACACATTGAGACTCACAAAAACCAAAAATACCATCACAAATTTACTCTCAGGCGGTGAACAGAAACGTTTATCAATAGCTTTGGAGCTTCTAAACAATCCGCCAGTTATTTTCTTAGATGAGCCAACTACGTAAGTTTATTTTTCTTTGAAACTGGAATACATTATAAAGCTTCCTGTATCTTGTTGTTGGTTTTGCTAGAATGATTAAGTCACCAAAAAAAAATGCATTATAATCCAGTTTGTAATGAGCAATAAACATTAAACAAAGAGTCGGCGGAGGAGTGTAACTCAATTTCAGAATGTAATTGCTTTTGTTCGGAATGATGAATAACGAAGAACGAAACTTCCTCGTTCTACTCTTGAGACTCAGTCACATGAAACTGGTTATAGACTCCACACACTAAAAGTAATTAATGAGAATACGTTTTCTTTCACGAAAACAGTATATTGAATATATTTACAATTAAAATAGTTTATAAATTTTAAATTATACTTTAAACTGGTTTATATATAAGAAAAACATTCGTTACAGAAAGTTGGTATATTCATTCATATTATTTATAATTTTCTGTAGTTTTCAAATGATTTTGAATGAAATGTATTAGTTCTACTATGTCACAAAATATTGTTGAGACTATCATACGTGTCTGCAGTATGTTTAATGCTAAAACCTGATTCATTTATTGTAGTTATAATAGTTTTTTTTTTCTTTAAAAAAAATATAAGTACAGATTTTATGATACATGAAAAGTACTTAATTCTTTATCACCTTCATAAATAATTACATAAATATCAGTTTTTTTAAATTATTACTTCTTTGTATCATTTTTCATATAATTTATAGCAGAGATTCTCAAACTTTTTGGACGGCGACCCCCGTTGTCATATTTTTTTCTTGAATCACTTCTTTATACTATATAATCTAATTTTTCTTATACACTTATAAAAATATAAAGGACCTGTGTGTCATCATTTTTTTTTACAACCCCCCACTTTGAGAATCACTGGTTTATACTATATGCTCTAATTTTGTTGTTAGTAAATTTCTAACTTCTGGATTCACATAAATTAAAATTGCTAATAATAAATTATTTGCCAATATTTCTATCTAATATTATTATTTACTCATGATGTATTTCTCGCGCTTTCGTTACTTTCAATTACACAAATGAGGTCATTTATGCAATCGAAAGAAACTTCATCCCAGGTTACTATAGTTTATTAACATTGTTGTTTTGTATTAAAAAATAAATGCAATGAATCAACGTAATACGGATATGAAATTTCCATTAAATAACAAAAATGTATGCAATTAATCTTCTCCTAGAAATTAACACTAAAATCATAACTACTAGAGACAACCTCGTTAAAGAATATTGCAAAGAACGATTCATTTCTTATTCAAATTATTTACAATTAATATGCAAATATGCAAAATCGTTCATTACACATACCCATTTTTTCCTCTCTTATAATTTCAAGGATAAATTAACAAAATTTACCGTTGTCAATATTGAATTCAATATTTGACTTGCCACTTTTTTTCCCCAAAACCCAACAGAACTTAATGCATTTGTCCATAATAAAAAAAGTGTGTGATTAAATAATACGCGGAAGAAAATATAATGATAACTATTGTTTGCTATTTTCAAACTGCGAGAATTTTCAAGGAATTGCGATGTTCATTTAATAAGATTATGTTTATTGAGAAATAATTTACACTAGTAAATATTATTTCTGCATTTTGCGGCGTAGTTTTTTCATTCTTAGTCATAAATATGATGTATCGATAATTTATGAAGTTTTCAAAAACAACACACTGCTAGATTACTTTTTTATTCACATAATAGTATACATTGGCTAAATATATGTTTTATAATGCTTTTGACTTTCTACAAATAAATACATAATTTAAGCTATTACATAATAATTACATAATTAGATTAGATAAAAATTAAAATCAATTATGTTGTTGAAACTTAAAAACCGCAAAAAAAGACATGGCTGTGTAAGAAAACGATAATTTTTGTATAAAAATATTTTTTTATATTTTAGTGAATCCAGACTAATCAAAGTCGTACTAAGTAAGGTATTACTGTATATAGTTTGATTGAAATTTAATGATCATTACGAAAATTGAAACAATTAATTCACTTTTTCTATCTCTATAGTCATATTCTTTGTATATTTATTACATGATCAGATACCTATAAAAATAGTCTCCAATTTATTCAATGATTGATTAATACGAGACATCGTAAAATACTTTGACCTTGACCAATGCATTTAGTCACAGTCATCAGATTATAACTAATTACCAAGTTATGAATTTGCTTATTTGCTCAATTATCCGAGTATTATTTAATGACGGTACATAGTTTACGTTTCGAGTTATTTATAGGAGAAAAAAAAATTCAAAACTATTGAACACATAACATAATTTAATTATAGTAATAAATATCTGCATTCAAAGAGCAATTAAATAAGTATTTCAATTAATTTTGCAATGTTTTACTTATTTACATTTAAAAATGAATTTTCTTCGAAATCAATGAAATGAAAATATAGCAAATTATCTATTATATGTTTGTATGGTTAAAATATTTCATTTGCAAATATATAGAATTTCTGATCTATCTTTATGCAGATGCCTTTCCATTTCAGTCACGTAACGTACTCTTCCGCCTCTTTCTCATATTTAGTCCTCTTATTTTCCTTCTTGAGAACCACTCTTTGTTAAATGCATTTCCCATGGTTGTCTATTTTAATGAATTCCTCGAACATTCTATTCATATCGCCATTTCCTACATTTCATTTGTACTTATGAGATTATTTCAGAATTGTCTGTTTTTAATATATATACACTGTTTATTATAACTCAACAGTTTCCTATCTCTGAACGTAATTATCTCTTCCTCATACGTAATATAGCCATAACATAATAACTGTTATCTTGTATTTTCGTTTTACACTTTTCATAACTAAATATGAATACTACTTGACCTATAAATGTAATAGTAATCAAAGTGTAAACCAATTCAACAAATTCTATAATTGTTCATACGTATTTTACATAAGATTTATTAGTTTCCGAATAATTACTATAAATCTCAATATTTATATTGATTAAATATTCATATGCATTATTCAATAATAATCAATTATACTGAAATAATTTTTATTTGTTTTTAATGCGGATTCTACTTCAGATTAGATACTTTTAGTATCTGTAGAAAGTTCTTCCAGTTTCAACACTTTTTGTCTATAATGACTGGTTTTTGAAGGACCACTTAACCGAAATTCCATTGATTTAGTATTCAAGTGCGTCACATTAACTGTTTTGGTAATTATATAATAAATTATATAGCCTAAATTTTCAGATTTGCTAACATTAGTATAATTAAATTATTGTATGTCACTTTGTTTTTGATTTGGATATTTGAATTATTGTTGTAATAAATTGAGAATATAACTTGTCAACGAATAATAAATTAATGTCTATTTATAGTTTCATTCAGAAAACATTTAAAATTGTAGTTTTCAAATGACTTATAGTAAATTAACAATAATTTAAATTCATTATTTTTCAGAGAATCTCATAAATAATCATCATTTGGAGCAATAATAAAATTTGTTTATTTCACTGTTATTGAACTGTGTGTTTAATTTCTGTTTTAGAGGATTGGACGACCTTTCCAGTAGTCAATGTATACAGTTGTTGAAGTCTTTAGCGGAAGGTGGACGGACGATAATTTGTTCAATCCACACGCCCAGTGCAAAGATATTTTCAACCTTCGATAATGTGTACATCTTAGCAGATGGACATTGTGTTTATCAAGGTTATGGACCTGAAGTTGTGGGTTATTTGGATAACGTAGGATTGCCTTGCCCGAAGCACTACAACCCCGCAGATTTCAGTAAATATTACTTATCAATATAATAAAAGTGTAACATAATTAATGCTGTTTTAGTTATTGAAGTATGCAGCGGGGATTATGGTGACTACCAAGACATTTTGGTGTCGCAAGTGGAGAATGGTCAATGCAATAGTTATTACAAGAGGAATATACTGGATGAACAGATCAAATCCAAAGAAAGATATGTCAGTGAAGAAACTATACAATCGGAGAATGCCTCATCATTGGCACAGTTTAAAATTATTTTATTTAGGATGTGGTTACAGATGTATAGGGATAAGGTATTAAATTTTGGTTATATTTTTGTTGGTTTTGTATATATTTTTTTTAATTTACAGACATATTTATTGCTACGATTCGTGGTAACTTTAGCCATAGGATTACTGATAGGTAATATATTCTTGGGGATGGGACAAGATGGGTCCAAAACGATTTTCAATTTTGGGTTTTACTACACATGCATCATAAAATTTCTATACATTCCCATGATGCCAGTTCTTCTCTCATGTAAGTACTTAATTTGTCAATATGATTTAAATATGATTGAAATGTTTCCTTCAGTTCCAGTTGAAATTAAGTTATTGAAGCGAGAATTTTTCAATAAGTGGTATCGCTTGGTCCCATACTTCTTCGCTTTGACACTATCCACAATTCCCATTACGCTGATCCTCGGTGTGATCTACGTAAGTCTAGTCTATTTCCTCACCGATCAACCCTTTGAATGGTACAGGATAATTCAGTTTTACGCCGTCTGCATGATGACGGCTTTAATCTCCGAAAGTATGGGCTTGCTGATTTCCTCCACATTCAACATTTTGGTAAGTAAAACGAAGCTGATTCACTTATAAATAATACTATGTTCCATTGTTTTATAGAACGGAATGTTTCTTGGACCGGTATTGGCAGTTCCTTTGATGCTCCTCGCCGTATACGGAATGGGTTATGAAGACGAAACGCCGATACCGATCATCTTGAAAATTGCTATGCACTTCAGCTTTTTACGATACTCCTTGCACGGAATAACCACAACGATGATGAAGAACAGGGCGATTTTACCGTGTCCGGAGGACGAAATTATCTGCAAATTTCGTGATTTGGACGAATTCGCCAAATTCATGGGACTGTCTCACGGGATTTACTGGCTGGATTTATTCGCTCTCATCTTGATATTTGTGATATTCCGTTGCAGTTGCTTCTACCTGCTTAAACAACGCTTGAGACCAAACAAAGCCTTCAGGACAATTCACTTCCTCTTGAAATCTCTCAAACTACAATTTAATTTACCCATTTGATTCTTGCGAATATTGTTAGACTATTTAAACGAATTTGTGATTGTAATACTATTTTTTTTTGATATAATTGTTTAAATAAAGCGTATTTTATAAATAATCGTGCTGAGTTAAAACCTAAAGAACGGAACGAAACGGTCACTCGAGTTGGCGACTTTCAGATCTTTTCCGCACAGCGATTTGTATTTAGTGTAGCCGCAAGGTTTGTGCTTCGGACAACCGCTGCATGGACTTCCAATATCATAAAGTGGAAGACCTATGTAATTACCACCTGGGGAGTAGTTGCAAACTAAGAGCAAATGGTGCCACTTCTTATTCACTTCAGGTTGCACCCAGATTATATCATAGAATTTTCCGTGTTCTGTAATATTTGGTTTCCTTTCATCTGAGAATGGGTTGTCTGTGGTGTAATAACTCATTGCACAGCCCAAGGCGTCAGTGTCTGCCCAAGTCATCTGAGTATAATGACCAACTTTAATAGGACCCCTAAAAATATAAGTTAAATCAAACACATGAGAACTGTAAAATAATCACAACATACCTGTCTTGCGTTTCTCGAACCCATTCCTTCTTGAAAATCGTAACTTCATCATACCAATATTCTATAAGATCGTGTAATGACTCCTTCACATTTATATTGTCATGAGTACTGTTGATGAATCCCAAATTTTGGCCGACGTGTTCATAGTTTTCTGTAACAAATCAAAATAAAAATATCTACACATACAATAGAATAAATGCATCATTAATACTCATTAAATTCAATTGTAATTGTTTATAAAGTGTAAAAAATATGTGTTAAATTATGCACAATCATAGTAACAACAAACAAAAGGTGTTTGTTATGAATGGAAAGCTTTTTTCCACTACATTTTCAGTTATAAGCAAAAAGTTGATTGTTATTATTAACTTCCAGTCATAACAAATAATTCAAGAAGTCTATTAATGATTAATGATTGTTACTCTTTATATAATTATTGTTGAACTACTGTTTCAATAATCATTTTTATAACCAAATTGCAACAACCATTAAATAAATACATTAATAACTTTCCATCCTTTCGTTTTAATTTTATTTAATAATATGTTTTGAAATTGAATGTAAACATATTTTAATTTAAATACTAAACATACGTTGATTTAATATATTTAGTGTTAATTCTGAAGACTTATGTAATTATTTTGGATTTCATACTGCAGAAATGCATGTTTGATCTTTCAAATTGTTTACCTTGGAAAAAGAGTTAATAACGTCCCGGATATCATTTTGAACTTAAATAATTCCTTTTAGAAGAAATTTAAGTTACATTACAATACGCATAATTAAAAGAGAACCAATAATATTAATAGAGAAAAATATATATGTTTTTAAAAACTTATATTCAATTAATTCAATGAATTCTGATAAAATTTTAATATATTTACATTTCAAACTTTTCATTATACAGTTACTTTAGTTATTATTTATATATTTTTTCACCAAAATTTCCAGTCCATATAAATGCAAATACTTTGAATATTTTTCAATTCATCTTTGTTGTTTTTTTCAAGGAAGAACAATACTTGTTGTAATCGATACCGAAAAAGTATAATAAAAATAACAGTTATTTAATATCGTTATTTCATATTTTCTATAATTTTCACCAAAAAAGGATTTTCAACATAAAATATGATCTGTCTTAGACCTTTGTACATCAATACTTTCACCAAGTTAAAATGAAATAAAACAACTAAATTAATATTAATATACTAACTAAAATACATTATACCACAATCCTATAAATTAATCTTGGAATCATTATGTAATTGATGAATTATTGAGTATTCTTGAAATAAATATAAAAGTAGGTAAATGGTAATGTAAAAACTTCGTTTAATAATTTTTGTAATTTAGTATGGACTTTCAAATTTAAATTTTATAATGAAAATAATACTAACAATACATGTATACAAAAATATATAAGAATACAGCGCTTCGATCAGTCCGGATTTACTATAGTCCGGTTTGAAAATTTCAATGCAAGCTCATTTTATGCATGTATTTGGTTCCTCGATTAATCCTCTTTCAAAGAGTTCGGAATATTGGCTGTACCGATTAACCGTACAATATGAGGTATTGCTCAAATGATACTGACACAATTTTCATGTAAATAGAGTAAATTCAAACAATTTGAGATTTATAAAAAAAAGAAGCTGTGACCTCAAACGTTTGAAGGTCAAAAGCATCGAACTTAACGGATCTTCCCGAAAGTGATTCATCTTCCATAAAGCGAAGAAGATTTATGTTCTAAATAAGTTTACGTCCTTCCGCATTGTAAATCTGCTAAATAATAATTTTCAATGTCCTCCAACATTAAAATTATACATCAACAGGCAAAGGTGTATTTAAGAAATATTAAATATTCAATTTATTATTCAAAAGTAACAGTAGTGCTTATTATGTATTGTTGTAAACTAATTACAGGTTGCGTAATTATGCACAGCTTCAATATTTATTGCCTTCTCTGTAATCTCTATCATTATTAATAATCTTTTCCTGCGTTACTTTAAAATACGAACGAATGGATTTAATTTGTTAGGAAAGTTTGTTGTTTATGAAATGCTTTCTTTATCAGTCGGGTTACGTATGTAAATTTAATGGATATTTGTTGTATTACTAATTGTTGTTTCTAATAATAAATATAGTAGTTGTGAATGTCAAGTTACTCATCGATTTACCGTTAATTTAAAATATAATTAGAAGAAAATTTGTAAGTAAGAAGTTTAATTTTTATAAAATAATTTCTTTATCTGTTGAGTTTTATAAACTATATGTATATTTTCGGTATTACCAGATGTTGTTTGAAGTAATAATTATATAACAATTATTGACGAAATACGAAAACATTGAAGAAATGTGTTAAATAAACTAATTGTTTATGAAATGCTTTTCTAATCCGTCGAGTTGCATATATAAATTGTATGCATATTTTCGGTATTACTAATTATAGTTTCAAAAAATAAATGCAGTAGAACCTCGCTTAACGAGTTTTAAAAATGATGGAGCAGGCGCATAATCCGGGACTTCTATTCTCATCGTCACTCGTTATGCGAAACGTCGCTCGTTAAGCGAGTAATTTTTCTTACAATTCAATTTACTCGTTAAGTGAAATGCTCGTTATGCGAGGTGCTTGTTAAGCGAGGTTCCACTGTATAATAATTATGAAAGTAAACTTACTTCTCGATCGTTTAATTAAAAAAATAACAGTGCATTATATTGAATATCCATATTATTTGTATGTAAAGTAATATGTACATGTGTTACTAATTATTGTTTCAAGTAATAAATATAACAATTATGAATGTTTACTTACTCGTCGATCTGCAAATATCGTGATTTAGAGGATCCCCGTTACATGCATTGGCCCAACATTGCGCGATGAATTCCAACTCTTTGCTGTATTTCTATAAACAAGAATAAAAGAAAACAGCTACAATTAGGGTCATGCGATGTAATACTTTTGAGCTTGTCATCAATATTTTTTTTGCGTCGGTTTGCTCCAATCAGGATGTAAACAAGTTTTGTGGCATTCCTATTTGGTAGTAGAATTGTATAAAAGTATATATAATCTAACTTTACCAATGTCATCATCTTTTTGGCCGGAGGCTGTCCGCCGCTTCTTTTCTCTTCCCCCGAAGCCACCTTGTTCCTCCACTGGTTATGCAGATCTAAAGCGTACTGCCTAAGCTCATCGTTCATCGGAATTTCGCGAAAATCTGGGCCGCATTTATTAGCAGGTCCGCATTTCTGGAATCAATCCCATCAAATAAAACTTGGAATATGTGCTTATTCAAAACTATACTTTATTGTCCCTTTCGCAGACCGTGTGAATGTAACTCCTGTCTGTCCCGAATCTGCATGGCATCGAGCAATAAGGATTCCTTAACGTGTGAACGACCCAGCAGACATCAATGATTGTAATCACGAAAACGTAATATTTAAAGACAGACATGTCTCTTGAGGAATCGACGATGTCTTTTTGCAAACTTCCAAAATGCCGCAAACGAATTTACATTTATATACGGAGCTGCTCTTCATTGGTGGGGGCGGCCGTCGTTTTGATTAGATGAAGGAATGCGAATACGAAGCGCACAGAAAAATCCGAGACGAAGAAGTGTTTGGGTTTTTTACTCAAAGCAAATTTGTGCCAAATCAAAAGAATACAACAACAAAAAAAACATAAATTAATTTATGCACATGTCATACATATTTAATGAATTCGGAATTCCTCAAATAAAAAAAAATAGAACAATGAATTAATTCCAAATGAAGATAACTTATATATTATTAATAAGCAAACGTTTTGTTATAAGATATTTTTATGACCCAATTGGAATGATCATGGGAAACATGCATGTAAAATGATATAAATGCCAAAGTTAATATTCGCTTAGATTATTAATCGTTTATTATTGACTAGAAAAAAACATCTCTTACATTAATTATGCACTTTAAAATAATTGCAACAAGAAGTAATGTGAAATATGTTAATTATTGCAATCAATAATTGTTGATATTAATTAATTATTCATTAATTTTCATCACTAATTTCTATTCACTTACTAATATATTTGACCAAGTATAACTACTTCCGGGATATCTAATAATAATAATATTTATGAACAAAGAATATTAAACTTATATTATTTTATTTGAAAATGTTATTAGTCCATGAAAAATAATGAAATATTAATTGAATAAAAATACAGTGGAACCTCGCATAACGAGCATTTGGCTTAACAAGCAAAATATTTTGTAAGAAAACTGAGTCGCAAAATGGAACGCATTATCGTATATTACATTAGTTTATATGGGGAAAATTGTTTCACTATACGACATTTTGGAATGTATTATCCATTGTAATGTGTACCTAATTATTTGCTTTCGTATAAATGGAATTCTTTTATACAGTTTATTTTTATATGAATTTAGATCCTTAACTAGTCCGGTGATGCGACTTGGAATTTGGACATTGATTGTTGTTCGTTTCTATAGATATAAATACATTACAGTTAGGCTATTTTTCAATTAATTTTCTTATTTTCATTTAAATATGTATTATTGAAGTAATAAAAACACTTGAACACTTTAAATTTTCAAATCGAATTAATAGCAAAATATTATAGCAACATCAATAAAACTGTTATTAAAAAAAAAACATGAAAATTAGATCTATTGAATCGATCTAATTTTCATGTTTTTTTTTAATAACAGTTTTATTATTTTTAGGTAATAATTATAAAATTTAAAATAAATGTTGATTTAATACTTAAAAAACAAAAATAATATCCTAATTAATAACATTTGTTCATGTATCTATGAATATAAAATAGGATACATTTATTTAAGAAAAAATGTACGGACTTGGATGAGGCCGAATCCTTCTGACTTCTTGTTTAACAATCATGGCATGTCAATCGATAGACGAGGTTAAAATATATTGGAATACAATCAATTGCGAAGAGATCAAGCAGATAATAAAAAAATAATATTCAAAACACTGATTTAGAATTCTTATCATCTTCAATTTGCACTTTCTGTTTGTTGACAAGACTATGGACTTTTATTATTTACAATCTATTCTTCATCAACATTTAATAGATAGATAGGAAAATAAATATAAATGTATAATATAACAAAATAACTATTATATATAAAAAAAGCTATTCATAGTGCCTCAAACGTTATACTTACTTTAGAAATGTATGACTTGACAACAGTGTTCCTCAAGCTGGGTCACTATCCAATATTAGGTCGCGATACAGCGAAATGACACCATATGCCAAAGTTGTATGTTATAAAACAATTGGCTTGCAGTTCAAAGAAAATCTGCTTTAAAACCTTAGTAGTAATAGCCTAATTAATAAAAAAATAATCAAAATCTCAAATGTTTTTTATGAGGAAATGAGTTTGTAATGTATAAAATAAAACAATATCACGTCTTAAGTTGTCATGATCTTTTTCGTCGTATGTGACAGTTTGTGAATACTGAACATTTACTATATCCTTTGATCATTGAATATATAAGAATTTATATAGTCTGATTATAGAAAGGACTATATGAAAAGTGTTGAATTTTGCAAAATATCGATATATACCTATTCTACTAATCCGCAAATTGATGACATTTCTGTAATACCAGAAGTACTAAAACTTAATGTTGATGTTGCAAAAGTTATAAAGGTATTGTATTCTAATTACAATATTTATAACCAACATTTTAGCCAAGACACTGAACCGAAACAAACATACCATGACATAGACCTTGAACTGATTGAGGCTGGTCAGCTCTTGAAATTAGTGAACTTATATTTTAGTTTAATTAATATGGGACAATTGTTTCATTATCATTTGTCAAGATTTTTTTAATCTCGACTATTTTATTTCTTTAATAATTATTATAAATAATTCGAATAATAAAATTATAAAAAATTTCCGAAATAATGATTTATTTTTATATACAAATATATTCAAAATAGTTACGCAAAGAATAAAATTAAATTTTTAAACAAAGAGTATAATTTATATATCACCTTGAGCATAATTATGTAATTAACAGTCATCTTTTATAATAATTCATAAATCAAGATTTAATAGAAATTTTAATTATGATTATATACAAATAAATGTATAATTAATTTGAAGTTACAATTTTAAATTATATATACTTATATAATAATTATATTATTAGCGACTTGAATCAGAATAAAAACAAATTACATATAAATAAATCAACGAACATATCAACGAATAACTCATTCGAACATATTATTATAATTAGTGTTTTGTTCATTTTTCTTCCATTAAGAAGTTTAGTGAAAATATTTATTTGGACAATACCAGTCTGGATTGAAAATTTGAAAACAAAGTAAATTTTAATTGAGCAAAATAAAAACAAGTCTCGATTTTAAAGACTTCGATTAGTCCGATTTCAATTAGTTCAGTATATATACGGAAAGATTGCTTTATTCAAGTACAGGTATCCCCAGACTTACAAACTATTTCCGTTCTAAAGGATTGTTCGTAAGTCGGGAGAAGTTTAAAAATTTCAAAATATATTTATTACTTATATTTACTTACCACACTTTATCATAGATTTTACGTAAGTCGGTGAATTAACTATTTTTGTGTAGAAAAAAAAAATGAAAATTAATATTTAATATACTCAGGTTTCTTTTGAATATTAATATGAATTTTGCTAAGTTATTCCAAAAAAACAATGCCTAAATAAATCAATTTTAGAAAACAATAATTAACGAATTTTATTATAAAAGAATAATTGAACAACAATTTTTATAATAAAAATATCTCATGTTCATGTAAGAAATATTTACACGTGAAAATGATGAAATTTATTTTTTCGATAAGTATCTCTCATCTTCACTGAAATACCAGCAAATAATTTTACTTTATAATATTGTTATTGTACTTCAGATTAAAATTTACACGTGGTGGTAATTAAGTTTTGATTTATTCCGCAGACGAAGAAGCAAACAAAAACATTCACTATCGAAACGGGGTGTTGTACACAGTCGATTTCGATTACTTTGCGTAATTGTTATAATTATATCTGCATTTATGAAGTAGGAAACGGCACGACCTTCGGAATTGCCATTGCTATTCGGTGTAATCTCTTTTCACCCAAACACATATCATTTTATTTATAACCACACGATCTACCAATAATTATTCTTTATGTGCGTTACATCTTGCTGCGGAATTCTCGATGCGATCATATACACCTTCCATATTAGTTACACCTTCTTCAATTTTGCTCGCACCGCAAGTCACGTTACAGAATAAAACACAAATGCTCGTGCAATTAACTCGGATTCCTTGTTTTCTTTTTTGATGCAACCTGTGAAAACTGTAGATATTTACAATTAATATGAATCATTTATTATACAACTTTGTTGTTTTGTTTTATTATTGAATGGACGTAATTCAGAACCTATAACAGTCATTTCCATTTAAAATTCTAAGGTAAATATTTTTATGTAAATTATTAATGGTGCACAAAAATTCTATTGATGATTCATCTACAATGTAAAAAATAAAATAAAATACAAAGTAAAATAAATTCTGTTTCGTAATGCAACAGTCACAAAAAGTAAACAAAAATAAACAATTGCAAAAGAAATTTAAAAACTGAATTAATCATATTCAAATATAATAATGTCAGGCAAGTTAAATTGAATGAGATGATTGAATTTCATATGTTAGAAAAACAAGTTAATCTTTTATTGAGTTATTTAGATTTATATCGTTAAAAATATATTAGTTGTCTTGTTTATTATCTTGATGAAAATATATTGTTGATAACTATGAGAATTGCCAAACTTAATTAGAAAATGTTAATGTTAAATGTAATTTTATAACTTAGAACTTAAGGATTTTGAATTTTCCAAAATGTCATGTCAAATGAAATACAATAAGTTATTTTTTATATGCATTGTCGATTGCCTGGGATTCAAATATATCTGGACACTGTGGAATAACTCGTAGTTATATCGTTGTGGTGTACTAGTGGAGATTTTAAGGAATGCTAGAGGTGGAGGTTGGAGTTTTTATGATAATGAACACTTTATCATTCACTATAAGATTATTAACAACTTCTATGTCTAGATTCCAGTTGCTAGGTTTGTTACTAGGATTTTTATGAATCTAACTAGGACTCAGGAGGACTCTCCTCTAAGACTTAAACTATCTTGGATTAGCGATTAGCGACAAACTTGGACTAGGGCTAACTTTGTATTATATAAACATCCTATTTTATAGTAGCGAATTAACATAGTGGGAGTATAATATTTAGTAGTGAAGTTTGTACTAAGTTTGTACGGGTCTATATCGCAAGCCCGACAACCGAAAGTCTATCGAAATTTCGACGTTTGAAATCTCGAGTATATCGAAATCCCGACGGGCTTGCGATTGCCACCGATACATGAATAAAATAATAAAGGTTAATATAATATAACCAATAACGGTTATACATAACAACATAAGATCAATTGCAACAAATAATTCAAAACTGTTAATATAAGGTTTAAGAAATATTATTTTTCTTTTACAGGACAAATTTCAAACAGAAACTTTGAATTGAATAGAATTTTTATTAAAAAAATATTTTTAGATATTTTTATTAAACTATTTTGATGTGTAGTTTTTAACATGGATCATTTTATAATCTTGATTTCCATTTCTCCGAAGAAAGATTCTAGAATCTAAATATGAATCTGGACTTGAACTTTCTTGAGTTTTTGTGAAAACATTGAATAGGAAGAATTTTACAAATGTGATATTTTTCAACTTTACTTTTTGAATATTTATTACGTCTAATTAAATATAATTATTTAAAACAAAAATACAAAGTTGCTTCTTCTAAACGTTTATAGTCTTCAATAAAATAATCTCGTAGCGGCATGCAATAAAGGTAATTCTAACAATCGTTTATTACTTTAAGATATTTCCCACAGATTGATTATAAATAAACATTTCTGCGGCAAATTGTTTAATAAAAAAAAGAACCACTCATACGTGTCGTTGCGCAACACTTTATATTGCATTGGAAAAATCCCTTTTTTTTTTTGTTAATTCTTATTTGTTATGTCCGAAACTTCACTTCAAACATAAATAATTTACTAGTCATATCTGTTATTCAAATTTTATAAGAGTATTTTATTTTAATTATTTTTTGCTCAGGTGAAAGGATTTATTGATTAATGTCCCTGAAGGAATCAGATTTTTCTCACATCCGTTCGTCTTATTGTTTATTTGCTTTCTCGTTCTTCTCGTTTAATCATAATTGCTTAAGTGCTGTAAATATTATTATTTGTTAGGTTCATCAGACAATTCGTGAGTTGTAGTATCCATGAAGCAGTCATTTCATTTTCTTCTTCTTTAATAATCGGGCATCGTGCAAACCCGCTAATTATTTCCTTTTAATTAACGACTCGAGCATTTATAAACGTTTAAACAATTAACACCGTCTGGGTTTTCAAACACGCAATTTGCATTTTAATTCATTTAAAATTCTAGCTTTGGATTCATATTTCACCTCTTCTTGGAGACTGTGATTCGCATTCAAATAGTACACAAATTTCTATTATAGGCAACTTTATTTACATCCACATTTTACTTGTTACTTAATAAAATATATAAATAAAGAACATTAGCACAATAATAATTTCAATATATTTGTATAAATTTAGTATAATTTTATATTAGAATATGATATGATAATAATAATTTAAAACATTATTTATTTTTTATTCAGTTTGTAACATTGTGAACAGTAAAGTTGTCTACCAATTTTTTATCATCATAAACTGTTAATTTTCACGTGTTTTTGAAGATTGTTGTATTAAATAGCGTTAAAATCTAAGTGCGTATAAATAGAATAATACAGTAAGTACTAAATTATTAATAATTAAACATGTTGCATCATATTGCATTATTTTAGATATGGATTTCACATGTATTTGTTGTCGTGTGGCTTTCAAGGATAGTGAAATCCAAAGGATGCACTACAAAACAGATTGGCATCGATATAATCTTATGCGAAAAGTCGCTGATTTGCCGCCTGTAACAAGTGAAGAATTCCAGAGGAGGGTTATAGCTCAAAAGGCTAGTGACAAATTGCAGCAGCAAGACACCAAGCAATATTGCAAGTGCTGTCGTAAGACTTTCAGCAATTTCAAAACATATGAGAATCATTTATCTTCAAAAAAACATAAAGATCTGGCTGAAAATTATGTGGAGCCTGTAGTGAAAGTAAATAATATGGAAGTTGATAAAAAAGAAGTTAATGTTGAGAGTGATGTTGAAGAAGATGATGAGGATATTGAGGAAGTTGATTCAGATGAATGGGATGAGGATATGGTAGTGGATGTAAGAAACTGTTTATTCTGTTTGCATCATAGTAAAAACTTGGTGAAGAATTTGAAGCATATGTCAGAAATACACACATTCTTCATTCCTGATATAGAGTTTTGCACTGATATTAATGGTCTCATTGAATATTTGGCACAGAAGGTTGAGCATGGTTATATTTGTTTGTGGTGCAATGAGAAAGGCAAGACTTATTATACAGCAGCAGCTACCAGAAAGCATATGCTGGATAAAGGTCACACTAAAATGATACATGATGGTGCAGCTTTGGCTGAATATACAGACTTTTATGATTATTCCACTTCGTATCCTGATGGGGAAGATGAAACTGTTGATTCTAACCAGGAGGTGGAAATTCCTGAGATGGAAGGAAACGAATTCCAATTGGTTTTGCCCTCTGGTTCTGTGATTGGACACAGAAGTTTGATGAGATATTATAAGCAAAGTATTGATCCAAACAGGGTTGTTGTTGTAAGGAAGAATACGAACAAATTGCATAAGGTTTTGGCCTCATATCGCGCATTGGGATGGACGCCGGAACAGCAAGAAGTTGCTGCAAAGTACGTTCATTTTAAGATTTTCGTATGCAATAGACGTTAATTTATTTCTGTTTTCAGGAGAGCCAGGGATATTCATCATATGAAGAGATTGATTTCCAAGTATCGCATGAAACTGGGAACCAAAGCAAACAAGTTGCAAACGCATTTCCGGCAACAAGTCAACTTTTAGACAAATTCATTTCATTATTTATGTTATTACAATATATATATGTTACTTTATTTTGTTATATATAAATATTTGTAGAAATTATGACATAAAAACAGGCAATTTTTGAACTTTGTTTTCTCAATTGTAATTAAATTATATAGAAATGATAATGTATGTTGAATATGTAATACCTGTACCAAGATAAACAATTAATGATTTTATGAAAAAAAAAATGATTTTATTATAAATATAATAGCATTTTCTAATACATCATTGTAACTATGGTTATCTACTTAATTTACTACTATTGAATTGAATCAAGGCTACGTGTTTTCTGGTGATTTCATAATATGGTTTTGGCCATAACTGTTCTAGAATGTTGCACAAAGCCGCTCGCCCACAAAAATTCAAATTGTTAAAAAAAGTTGGTGTTGGATTAGTTCTCGCTGAAACAGCTGCATTTGTAGTCTCATATTTTGGTTGGAACAAACTGAACTCTGATCGAGGTACGAATATAAATCGATATCATAACCTAACTTAATCTAACAAATGTCGCATCTATTTTAAGAATTCCGATATTACATGAGAGAGAATTATCCACCAATTTTGGAATTATACTACACCTTAGGTGAAAAAATAAGTACTTCAAATATTCGCGCGATTGATAACAGCTATTGGGAAGTACAAGGAAAGTAAATGGACCGCATTGTTAAATCAGTTCTTTATTTAGCTGGGTTTGGTGGTCTTGGCTACTCATTACTAACATTCTGCAACCCAAGCTCTAATAAAGATTTAACACAATATAAAGTAAGTGATTCATTTATAAAAATCAATATGATTGTGACAACTGACACAAAATGTCATCCATTTGTAGAACTACCCAGGCTTTGAGAAGAACCCAGTGGAGCGTGTTAAGGAGAAGCAGAGATTCGTCAATATAATACAATCAGCAAGTGAATCAGAGGAACCAGTTTATATGTCAAAGGATCAGTTCAAGAAGCTATGTCAGAAATAACCATGCAGGACAAGTTGGATTTCTTAAACAAACGTGAAACTGAGCGTAAATTGAAATCCAAGCAAAATGAAAAGGGGTCAGTGGAAAACGAGAAAGTTGATTACTTTGAAAAAGTAGTTGCTGAGAAAAAATCCGAAATTAAGGAGCTAATAGAACAATCCTCACAAATAGCACAAAAAGATAAACTGGCAGAGCATTTTAATAAGATTTCTAATAATATACTAACATTGCAAAAATACATTGCTTCAAATAATTTGTTCCTTAGAACTTATGATATTAAGGTTTATCAAGAAAGCATCACATCTTTAAGTAATGAAGTTAAGGAGTTGGAAGATAAATTATTACCTAAGAAGAGATTTAATTTCAAAAAGAGATCAGATGTGGTTAAAGCCAGCAATGTGACACAGGTGCAGCCTGTTAAATTGGACAAGGTAGATATTGATGTTGGTGATTGTGGTTTCAAGGACTTAAATGATCAGGAACTCAATTTGAATCGAGAAGAAGTTTTCAAGAAGGATGTTGCTTTAGCAAATCTTGAAAATTGCACAGTTAAGATCTATGGTACACCATCCACTTTGCATTTATCAAACATCAAGAATTGCAAGATTTATTCTGGACCTGTTTCCACCTCTATTTTCGCTGATGGATGTATCGAATCTACCTTGGTTATAAGTTGCCAGCAGTTAAGATTGCATAGTTCTAAGTCTGTTAATATATATCTGCATGTTACTAGTCGCGCTATCATGGAGGACTGTACTCACATCAATGTGGCTCCATACAATTTGGAATACGATAAACTTGCTGAGGATTTCGAAAGGGCTGGCTTGGATCGTAATGTAAACAACTGGTTAAGCGTAGACGATTTTAATTGGTTAAATGTTGCAAAGGATTCTCCCAATTGGAATCAAATGGAAGAAGCTGATAGGGTTCCTAGTTTTTTTATTTGAGTCTCTTACATAATACTATAAAAGCTTTTTAAAATGTACTTTAGTATTTTTAATTCATTCTACTTTATATAATATAAAGAATCATTTAAACATCATATCCAACAATGTGGCGTTTACCAATACATTCTCCAACATAGAACCAGCAGAGGACCTCAACAGTGATCAAGGTGTTTAACCAGGCTTCCCTGATTGGCATTTCCTTCCATTTGCCAGTTTTAGCTCCCCTCATGATGTTGGCTACAAAAAGAAGATACTGTATTTACTGAGTTTCAAATAAATTTGATAAGAAACTTACCAATGCCAGCACGGATTTGTGGAATATCTCCTGGGCTGGGGGGTGTCAATTCAACCTTCGCATATTTAAGGAAAGTTTGCACCTTTGGTCTGCCCTCAGACAACAACTCTACAAGATATATATTTTGAAGTTATGTAATGATCTTTCAATCTTTTTCCTATATTTTTTGACATTTTGACCCAATATACAGGTTAGGTTACGTAATTTGTACAATAGAGTAAATTCTTTGAATAGTTTGGTAATTGCAATTAACGATCACCAGCTTTTCATATTAAAATTTCATTTTTAAAATTACTTACGTTTAACAAGTCCTGATACCTTGGCTGCCATTTTTCCTCCCAATAAGAATTTCGCCTTCAGCTGAGATGATAGCGAGGAAATTGATTTGACACTGCGCTTAAGCCAGTTGTACCAATAGTATAAATAAATAGGCGCCATCTATTGGTGATTAAGAAGTTACAGTATACAATACTATTAAATTTATATACCTCTAGATATATTTAATATATTATACTATTACTTAATGTATATTTACTGATATTGAATTGTTAATATTTTTATTTGTTTTTGGAAAAAGAAACATTGGTAATCCTGACATGGTCGACTTCAATATGGCGGATGGCGACCAGGTGATTTTACCAGTGGAGAAGAAATATAGTAAGTTGCAAATTCGCAAGTTTAGACGTAGTAAAAATCGCCGACTGAGACGTAAACGAAGTAATTTGCGTTTTCGGAGAGAGTTGAGTGTTGGTAGAATATCTCGCGCCAGTTTAGAAGTAATCGATATATCCGACATGGAGTGCAATCCGCATTTTGGACAAACCATCACAGAGGTCGCTCAATGGCAGGGCCAACATGCAACCGCCTACTGGAAGTCCAGAGCGATTAGCTTAGAATATGAAAATCGTATGTTGCATGAACATATTAAGAAGCTCTACTTGGGACAAATAGATGAATGTAAGGAGTTGAAACACGAGGAAGAACTGGAACCAGAATGGAAGAACGAAGAAGAAGGACAGAAGAAACGAAGATGCAAAAATAAATGGCGAGACGATAGGGATGCTGATGTACCCCGCGAAGAGGAGAAAATGATACAACATATAAAACACATGAAAGACTTGTATGGAAACAATGCATCTAAGATCAATGGAATGGAGGTTGCCGTTCAATTGAACTACGATTTTCATTCAACAAAATCAGTGTATTGGCCCAATTTACCTTTAAATTTATAATTTATTGATATTATATTTTTGATATTCCTTTTTATACATAGTATTATTTAATTATAATAAAATAAGTTACATAAATACAATTGCGTTTTATTACAATTTATCAAAACATTATAGCTTGAAGCTACAACAATGCTATTGCTGTGTAATTTCACATTAAAAAAAGGGAATTGTTCATGCAACTCAAGTGTAAGCTTAAATTATTACCACTTTCACTCAAAACATCTATAAATTAATTAAGCTGTTCAAAATGTTACACAGTTCCGACGAAGATTGATTTTACTATTCTAGCGCGTTTCGATAATTGAAACATTGCTTCGGTGATGAAATGTGCACGAACAACATCGTTCACATAGTAAATATATGAGTTGTATAATAGAGATGGAGTTAAAAAGGGCGTCCATCTGAAACAATGAAAAGACAATAATGAAGTGCATTTTTATTGAATACAGGCCAGAGGAGGTTCTATTCATGGGTTAATTGGACGATGCCCCAAGGCCAAAAATGTAATTTTTGATTTATTCTTTATACAATACTAAGTATTATTGGTGTTTATTTATATTGAATCTGCATTCGAGCTAAAGTATCAAGATTAATTTAAGAGACGGTGAGGTGATTCTAGTTATCAAACGAGTTTAAAGTATTCTGGACAAATAGGTTGGAGTTTTAGTAGGATGAGGACGATTAATAAATTTAACACCAAGAACATTTATAAAATAAACTACTTTGTAAAACCACGTAGTCAATAACAAAAAACCTTCAAGTGAAACACATTACATTAAATAAATGTATGTATTCTTCATATATTATCAAACATAAAATACGATTTATTAAATCATTTTATTAATGAACACTAGGTTTGACTTTTTACTTATTTTAATACAATGTTGTATAATAATAAATACTACTGTTTACTAGAATATTCGTGTGGAATCTCAGTTGAGAGTTTTGGTTCATTAACATGATTTCCCTAAAAGTGAAACCTGTCTAATGTTATTTGTTTTTGTCTATTAAAGTGGAGAAGATTTTCGGTTAGATATTCTAGTTTTTGTTTGAAATTTGAAACCGGATTTTTGTCGAATTTCTTGTTCGAGTTTCAAGTTGTTCGAAGTGCGAGGTTTCTATTTAATAATAGAAAAATATGAATGCACGTAACTGAAACATTTGATAATATTAGGTATTAGAATCTAGGCTAAGTAAAACGTATAACAATAAGTCAGAACAGGTCCTCCTAGATCAGTCATCGAGTCCAACCGTTCGTCGCATTCGGCCGTTTCGATTGTGCGTGTTTTTTGTTCTGGGCGCGGGAATTGTTAAATGATAAAGAGTTAAAGGAATCGAAGTGTCAATGTGATGACAATAAATTGAGGATAACGTTTGGTGCGGTTTGAAATGTATATTATATGAGCGAGGCAATCTCTTAATGTGTGTATAATATATAGATGCGTGTACGAGACGGTGGTTTTGCTTGGTCTTTAAAGAGGAAACTAGTGGCTTTGTCATCCAGGCAGCAGCCGCACAACGGACAGGACAATGCTCAAAATATAAACAAGGCTCGCTTTTGAACCGAAGCTCCCGAAGCCGACGTTACATTTTATTATACATATTATGTGGACACACCAAGTCGCCATCGCGCTCTTCTAGACTTCTTACCGTTGGTAGGAAGGCATTCCGCAAACGAATGGTAATTGTTTTGCCAAAATAAACCCCCCATTTGCATAAGCACTCTCCTCTCTTCATCTTATACATTTCTCTTTGTCTTTCTCTTTCTCCATTAGATTTCATATAAGCCATCCGTACGCTGCATTCAATAATATGCCTTTATCTTTCCAGGAATCACGCGTATAAATAAACATCTAATTAAACAAGATTCCTCGTACCATTGTGGGTATACAGAAAACTAACCAACGATACGAAGCAGTAGTGGACTTTACAGAAGGAATAATAATAATTTGTCATTAAAATAACTTTCGTAAATTTAACAGTTAAACGTTTTACTATCAGATGATCATTTCTGAAATCCCATTAAATTAGAATCAAATATTTATAACATTTATTTCTCTTAATCAAGTTATTTGTTTTCATGAAATCAACAATTTTTGTTTATTGCAACTAAATGATGATTATATAGATGACATCCGGAATAAACGCAATTTAATAAATTTTAAAACAAGTGAAGATGCGCACTAGGCATCTTCACTTATTATAATTAAATGAGAAAGTTTATATAGGCTGTTTTCGGAATCTGGCATTGTCATGCTTCAAAATGACTCCTTTCAGGTTAATCAGAGATAACTGTTTTATGCAACTAGTGTTTTAAACCAAACTTCCACTCTCAATTATGTCCCTGTTTTTGGAATTAAATTGGATGATTGGTAAACTTACCACTCTACTAGAATTTTAAAAATCATTTGTTTGCGACAAAGTTTATAATTGAGTATTCTAGAAAATTACTAGAATTCCTCGAGGAATTTGGTAAAGTATACAAAATAGGTATGTATAACAAACACAATGATGGCAATGTATTTGTTTTTAAAATATGTTTCTCTTTGAATCTTGAATTGAACTTTAAAGTTTCACATATATCATGCAATATGAAAAATTAAATAAAAACTATGGTCTTTCCAACTCTATAACTTGTCCAAATTTGGTCACTATTAATATATATTTTTAATCACTACTGCTAGATTATAAATAAATATTTATTACTTTTTATTTGCCAATTAATGTTTATAAAAAATAAGATGTTAGATATTTCATTAGTTTTCAACTGAACGTAATTCACTGTTATTAACAGGAAAAATAAAAGTGGTTTTGAAATTTTAAATCAATAATTACTTAGCAACTTCTGCATCAGCTTCAAATATGGAAGGCAGGTAACGAACAAAATTTGGCTTGGTCATGAATTGAAATAACTGAACAACATCTGATGCAATTGCTAGAACATCTACTTAAGTGATGCTATTATTTCGATCTGGAATTCGGAAATAATTCTGGTTTATGAGTTAACAAAATTAATATCAATTCAGTTAAATATTTATTTAATATATATTCTATATACATTATATTCTATGTACAATAAGTAGATATATCATAGCAGTACCTCGGTTTGTTCGGGTAATCAGTTAAGCCAATATCTCGCACTTTTTAAATCGGATTAATGAAAAGAAGTGATTATTTTACTTTTCTCAAGAATTTAGAAGTAATGATTAAAAAATAAAATCCTTCATTTGTCAATTTCTGTCTACTTTTCATATTATTTTGTATGATATCAATTTGAATAATATTCAGTGATTTTATTACAATTTGATAATTAATCAAGTAATTTGAAGAGATTTAAGTTTTGAAGCTACGCATTAACATATTATTATATAAATCTAGTTATTCCATTATTATTTTAAACGTATTGATATTTTCACCCTATGTCAAAGCTTAAAAAATGTTATGTTATTAATATAAATATTGGGTCGCACGGCATAAAGGTTGAGAAACGCTGATATAAATATATATGATATAAAAATAAATATTTTTTAGGTATTTGGACTTAATTTGTTAAATTATTTAATTAATTGATTCGTTATAAGTTTGGATTGATTTATCATCTGATACTGTGGGAAATTAATACCAATATAGGTATTCCCCGACTTACGAACTCTCGGACTTACGAACAAAATTTTAGAAGCTCTAACTTGTTGCAAGAAGTTATATAATGATAAAAAAAATTAACTGTCCAAACAAAAATTGATAATTTCTTTTATAAAATATAATTTTTTCAAATTTATACACTCTGTAATAAGGAATTTAACATATATAAAAGTAAAAACTATAATAATATTTTTAAATTTTTAAAATTTCCCCGATTTACGAACAAATTTGATTTACGAACAACCTTTTCGAACGGAACTAGTTCGTAAGTCGGGGTATACCTGTATTATAAAAATGTACTGCAGATTAATGTGAACTTAACAAGGTATTACTTTAGAAGATTGTACTTGGTAAATTGAATAGCTTCATAAGGTTTGTTTAATACAGTTGCAACATTTATGCAATATCCTTTTAATAAAAGCTCATATGCAACGTATAATCAGGTGCATACATACAACGAAAATGATGTTATTAAATAATTGATTTATCTTCTATAATTAAGGTGGAATTAATCTGTTGACCAAGAAAACGAAAACGAAATACAAAAAAATGTGTGCATTTGATTCGCTTTAGCGCAACGATGCGCTAGCGATAAGTTACGTTTATGTAAAGTAATAGAAAACTGTATACGAGGTGAGAGAGATGCGTGTGAAATAATAAGTGCTATTAATATCAACGTGGTCATACGATATAGGAGATACCGCATGCTTTTTGTATGAATATTAGTATTACATACAGTTTCACACCGGATTACAATTTTGCAACACATCGATTTTTACAATCCTCACATATACAGGGTGTTCATTACATAAATATTATTTTCTCTTTTGTAAATCCATATATATAATACATATACGAATATCTGCAAATTGATCGTAACCATAATAATTTACAATTCAACTCGTAATTATTCCGTTCTAACAAGGACTCATTACGAGTACATATTAAAACTTAATCATTAACGTTTTACACAGGTATGCTCATTTATATGAATTTTTCAATGTAGATAAAAATAATGATTTCCTTGCATCGTGAAACAAGTATAAAATCAGAATAATTGATATTACTTTACTGTTAATAGGTTGGATAGTCGAACAAGCAAAGTATTCGTTCACTCGACTTTCGTTCTAAGCATCTGGTATATCTAGGACGAAATGATAAATAGAGGAATACAGGCAATAAAATTTCACTATCGGCGTTTTTTTTATGGCGCAACGGAAAAAAAATTATAATAACACGTAATACGATTTTTATCTATAAACAACAAGGAAAATGTTGTGGTAAAGAGGATATTAAACGGTTAGTTTATGTGTCATTAATAAATAATAAGCTAATTAATTAACTGCTGCAGTTAAGGAAGAATTTTAATAGAAAAAAAAA